GTAATGCATCTACAGAGCCAATCATTGAGCGCACATAGATGTACACACCTGTAATGCATCTACAGAGCCAATCATTGAGCTCACATAGATGTACACACCTGTAATACATCTACAGAACCAATCATTGAGCTCACATAGATGAACACACCTGTAATGCATCTACAGAGCCAATCATTGAGCTCACATAGATGTACACACCTGTAATGCATCTACAGAGCCAATCATTGAGCTCACATAAATGTACACACCTGTAATGCATCTACAGAGTCAATCATTGAGCTAACATAGACGTACACACCTGTAATGCATCTACAGAGCCAATCATTGACCTCACAAAGATGTACACACCTGTAATGCATCTACAGAGCCAATCATTGAGCTCACATAGACGTACACACCTGTAATGCATCTACAGAGCCAATCATTGAGCTCACATAGATTACACACCTGTAATACATTTACAGAGCCAATCATTGAGCTAACATAGATGTACACACCTGTAATGCATCTACAGAGCCAATCATTGAGCTCACATAGATTACACACTTGTAATACATTTACAGAGCCAATCATTGAGCTCACAGATGTACACACCTGTAATGCACCTACAGAGCCACATACATTTATTTTTTATATATACTTCATTTGGCATGTACAGAATTCCAAGTGACCTTACTCTCTGGTGCCTTCCTCAAATCGTCACATAAGTTACTTGATTTAATTGCACAGATACCTACAACTCTGAAAATTTGTTATATATATCACACTCTCAAATCGTCATGACAATTTCTCTGGCATAATGAAAGATGAATTGTTGTTATGTTGACACAAGACTTTGTTAGCTGTTCTATCACCACACACAATCATCTTTTATTTTCATGGTTTTCCCTATATGGCTTGATTAGCAAACTTTAATGGCAACATAATGAACTCTTTTAGTTTATTTTCAAACCTTGAGTGACAAAGAAATTACAAAGAAAACAAATTCTTGCAATGGGAGAACTCTTTTCCTATCTTTGTTTGTTTTTGTCAGTAATTACACAACAAAATGCTCCAATTCTGTGTAAAGTTTAAAATAACACCCTTACACTCTCTCTAAATGGTAGACGGACTTTATTTGGATAAGGATAAATTTTCAACTTATTAGGTTACGTTAAACTCAGTGTTTATCTGTCAAGCTGGGTGATTTCCATTCACAGTTTGAAGTACTAGTCACAGAAATAAGACTTTAAGTAAACATTCAAAGTACCCACTCAGCATTTGTAACACTTTCTAAGGCATGGTATATTTCAACACATTCAAATTAAACATTCTTTTCCAAATGCAGACGTTTATTCTGTGTCTACTGTCGAATACCCATGTCATGCAACTTGAAGGGGGTTCAGACAATACCTGGTATCAAAGCATTGCATTGTGCATATCATTGTTGCGTACTATTTTACATTTATACAGTCAGTCAAGAATCAAAATAACCAATGAAGCAAATTCAATAAATGCATCATAGCAAATATATTTTAATACAAGATTAGAATTTTTGGAAAGCGAGTCATAAATCTCATATTTATGTTGTTATGTTATCATGGCACTAAAGTTTCTAGATAACATATGATACAGCATTTTTTTGTACAATATACTGAGAAAATTAAAAAAAATATTCATCAAAATTTGTATAGCAATTTCACAATGTTAACAAAGAGTCTGAACAAATTCAGAATAACAAAAAATACCTGATCAGTTATGATATTAATTTTTTCCACACTACCAGTATGTTACAAGCCTAAATATGAGATATTACATAAAAACTTCATCATAAGAATCTATGGTGAAACTGTTGAGAATAATAACAAAATAACCACCTTTCACAAAAATACAACCAAATCCATCATCTTCTTTATATACTCATTTGCTATTAATGTTGTCTTCGTTACATTCTATTGTTTTGTTATTCTGAGCACATTGTGTCAATATTGTTTCCTGCTTCAAATTACTCTATATTGATGTTTTGTTTTGTGCATTTTAATTCTTTATGGTCAGTATCAGAGTGATAATTAATTTTATTGAGTTTAATGCAAATGTTTTACTTACGGAAACATGTTTCTTTATCTCTGCCTAGCTGGTATCCAGGTTTACATGCACAAGTATATGACCCACGTGTATTACGACAGCTATGTTCACAAGATACTGTATTAGATTCACATTCATTTATGTCTAAAAACAAAAAATTAAAAAATATGTACAAACAAATCATAAAACAAAATGATGTACATCACTAACCCACCATGAGTGATGTCAACGCCATGTTTGATTGAAATCAGCCCAAACATACATGTACCTAACAATGCCACAAATAATATATAACAATCACATGGGTAGGGTATTCATACCAATCTACTGGTGCCACAAATAACACATAACAATCACATGGGTAGAGTATTTATACCAATCTACTGGTACCACAAATAACACATAACAATCACATGGGTAGAGTATTTATACCAATCTACTGGTACCACAAATAACACATAACAATCACATGGGTAGAGTATTTATACCAATCTACTGGTACCACAAATAACACATAACAGACACATGGGTAGAGTATTTATACCAATCTACTGGTACCACAAATAACACATAACAGCCACATGGGCAGGGTGT